GGCAGTACGCACTGGGCTATGGCACTCAGATCGTTGACTAGTGCTGAGTCACTTGTTGGCTTGAGCCAAACACCGATTTGTTGAGCTGTTGATAGGCTGGCATGGTGTCCGAAGACGCCCATGATCCGAGACTAGCCTGGTGGATGTAATCCTCCCAAGCTTTGGTATAAACATGGTAACATAGCTCATTGCAGAATTGCACTAGGCTTCGACATCTCTTCGCACCCCCCATGAGTGAGGCCTTAGGCTTCGCTCACACACAGGAAGAGAGACGCAAGACTGAAGGGATTGAAGCGCAACGGTGTATTGGCATTCAGTGCGTACGATCTGCCTTAATTAAGCTTGCCGTGAGACATGAAAACGTCGAGTGCGATCCCTAGCTCTGGCCAGACTGAGAGAATCACTACCTCAAAGAAATAAATGCACGAAAGGTGGTGCATATCATCATGTCCACATGTGAAGTTGTAGGCAATGGTGACGGTAAAGTGCGCGTAGTACATCACCAATTGCGACGGTCGTTGTCCCATCGGCGTTGGTCCTGGCGTCCTGCGGCCATCGATCATAAGGTTGCTGATTGCGATGCCAGCGTTCTTGTTGAGGAGGAGGACCGCACGGTTCCAGAGGAGACTTCGCTTTGGCCTTGGCTTTTGCTTTAGCCACAGCTTTAGCGGTAGCATAAGCTTCATGCGCTTCAGCCGATTCCTCCGCAGTCACTGGCTGATCAAGGATACTGCGTTGTCCAGGAGGCAATAGACTAGCCCCGGGAATATGTCGCAATCTGGTCGCAATGCGTTCCCTTGGTAGATCTGCGCGCCCTCTTGACGAGCACGCGTCAACCGCATGGTGTACTTGGCCTGAATGGGGACTTCCAAATCGACCATCATCGCTAGGAGTTGAAGAGGACAGTGTTGCCACGTGTAAAGCATGCATATGCTGTACGGGTCGATGCACAACACATAGTCTGGACCGGTTTCTGCTCGCGGGACCAATACAGTGTACTGTCGATACCCACCGACTTTAGCGATAAGCTTTGACAGCAACATAGCACAACTTGAATGCACCATTGCTGTGTCGGCATCTTGTCCCTCTCGCATGTGGTTTTCGACCTTGAAATTTGCCGTCGATAGCCAAGTTGAATAGCTCCGCGTTGGAGTTTGGAGATCAACTGATTTCTCCTGAGTCTGTTGAGAAGATGAATCCCCGTAGGGTCTTCCTGTGATCCCAGACTGGCACCGTAGGCAAGCACTTCCTCATCGGTAACATCTCGAGATACACCGGTTGCGGGGTCAACCCGAGATAGATCTGGTCCCTAATCGCCAAGAGGGTCGTGTCTCTTGTGATCGTCAAACATTTCTTTTGCCTTTGCGTGTGGAATGCTCAACCATCGAGTGTTACCTGTCTAACCCTTGTACATAAGATGCACAACGAGGTATGCCGTGTAACGAGCATAATTAGTCACTTGACGAATCAATAAGACTTGCTGTTTCGATGTGCGAGAAGATTGGCACGTGTAACCCTTGTCTGAGGTGTGCAAGGTCTTGGTCCACATAAAGGTCTGAAACGAAAATCAGTACTGGTCGCCAAGAATGTACTTCTGCTGTTTGATATTCTCCCTCGCCTTCATCAACGTCAATTTCCATTTCTGGTTCAGCGACTGTACGTTCATCTTCATCATTGCGATCATCCATCCGGGCATCACCGTCGTGGTCGACTTCTGGTTGTGGTTCTTCCTCCATGGTGACATCGTCGTCTTCCACTGGAACACACGCAGCTTCTTCCATGGCTCGTGCGAGCTTTCAGTCATGATGGATTGAAGATTGTAGTATTCAGTAGCATGGTACGCGCCCTGAAGTTGGTTCAAGAGAGAAAGTGACGCCGACAACGCAAACTTTGCGGGGTCGAGTTCCATGATGGTCGACCTGGACTGAGAGTGTCCTGATGCTGCTCTGATGGCCCAAAGGCTTGATCCACTTGCCATTTTGCATAAGCAAGTCCTGCCCAATATGCTGGGTGTCTTGTTCACGCTGGAGCTCTTGGAATTGAGTCTCGCTCCCCACCATTCTTTGAGAGAACGGTGGTACTCCTTCTGCCACGTCATCCAGGTCCGGAGGAGGTGCAAGCCTGATGCCCAGGAATTGCAGACGAATCTTTCCATCACTTTTGTAGTTGATGTAGTTCCCGTCGATCAGAAGCTGTAATCGTCGCTGCATTTCTCTGTTGTACTCAGTACGGCTCGTTCTCGAGAGTGGATACCCGATTTCTCGCTCATGGTGAGTCCACAAGAGCTCGTTGGACAATGATCTATCCAATTTCACCCATCCACCTTCATCGCATCGAATAGTAGGAATCGGTGAATTTCGCAGCCATACTCCCCTGTCCACTCGTCCGACATGATGTCTGAGGTCCTTCTGGATGAACCGGAGTGCTGATTTGGCTGCTTCCTTCTTGAAACGCGTGTATTCATCCATCAGCTTTGCCCTGAGAACGCTATCCCATGAGGGATGAGCATATTGCGCCAGTCTTGTAGGAACCATTTCAAGGATGCCACCATAGACATCATCGGCAATGCAAGTATATCCAGGGTTTTCGTATCCAGACTGTGACCGATCCTCATTGCGTCGAAAGATTCTTCGGTCGCCTCGTTGTGGAAGAGAAATGTCCCTTGGGGAAGTACTTGTCCGAATGCATTCGATGACTGCGTCATGGCTCTCCAAGCCGATTTGAGAAATGTCCTCGCCACAAATGTTGTTGTAGTCCCCTCTCTTGCGGCTCACAGCGTCGGACAAATTCATGCCGTTGTCGTATTTCACGATGAACATTCCTTCGAGATGATGTAGTTCTCGTGGCCGTGGTCTTGCCTTTGCTTTCGGTCTTCTGCCAGATGAGGCCACACTTTCCACATCCATGTTGTCATTGGATCTAGTCGCTCTCTCTCCACGTTGTGGTCGAGGAGCTGGCGAAGAACCTGACAGTGGCAATGCATTTGGGTGAGATTTAATGGCATTCTTGACGAGGTCAAAGGCCAATGTAATCTGCTGACGTAGTTGACTATCTGCGCGGCAGCTTGGAAACGCGTGTTCTGAACTCCCGCACAGTACACATAGTGTTCCTGTGGTGTTGTCGTTGACCCAAATGTTACCATTGAAAAGCATGTTGATAGCATCCCATGCTCTTGCTTTCACGGCGTTGGCGATGTTGAGGTCTTGGGGTGTGTCCACGTTCTCTTCCTCATCAGGTTGTCCATCTGGATCCATTGTATCATCTGGGACAAGACGAGGTACTTCCACACCTTTTGGGAGGAATCGAAATTCGCATCTTCTCCTCCATGTACGGCGACGGTGACTGCGTGTTCTCGCGGGCCTCCGAGAGGATGTGCTTCAGCTCCGGAACGGTCCATCGCGGGTGGAACGGGACGTTCCTCCGCACACACTGCACAGGTCGATGCGGAAGCCGATGGGAACGACAAGGACGCCCCAATACAGTGCATCCGCCCGAGGACACCGACGGCAAGGACGATGCCGAGGACGGACGGGAGCTACAGTAGACTTGGGCGCGCGGCGGACAACGTAAAGGCCCAATGCCATTGCACAGCCTGTGGACAACAAGGCAGTGGCAAGCCGGGCGGGAGCAGCCGTGACGGCCGCGCCCACAGCATCAGCGTGACCAATGAGGTGTTCGAGCTGGCTACGGTTCCTACCGGCCCGCTCCTGGCGATCATGTTCACCGCCTGTTCGAGATGCGTGGTTGGATCGGCTTGGCTCCCGTGGTACCTCGATGACGTGAAGGACTGCAATGGTGGAGGTGCCAAGGCCAAGGCATACGTGCTTATCCTTACGAGTTCATCAATGCGCCGCTCCTCGTCGTACCCACAGGTGATCCACGCCCAGCACACCGCCTCGATGACGCCGTCGATGGTCAGCATGATGCCCCTGAAAGTCCACTCGTCGGTGTCCTCCAAGTCCTGTGCACCGTGATCACAATCTCGCCGAGGCCGACGGGCTTATAATTATACTCCTTGGAACTCGTGTGTTCGTGCCACAGCCTCGCACTCATTGCCGAGGAGCTTCTCCGTCGGTCCTCGCTCCCACTCGCCGCCTTGTGCTCGGCGCCCTTGATGGTGACGCCGGAGAGGAACCACCTGGGACATGTCTTCAATTAAAATAGGGCACCTAGCTACACACGCTGAAGGCACAAAACTGAGGCCGTTCGGCCATCCGTACCGCACCGTCCATTCATGGCGGCCCAGGCTCGCCTCGTCGGGCCCCGGCAGGTGCAGCAACTTGGTGCGGGAGTTCATGACAAACTTCGGTGATACGTGGTGACATAATTACCGCTCCTCCTATCGGGGCCTCGCGGCTTTGCGTATGATGTTCGATGTGGATCACAATGTGGCGAACTTTCGGGCAATCAGTGTGTCGTGCCACAAACTGACTACCACACCGTCTGGGTGCCCGGCCCTAGTGATCAAGTGCAAGGGCTGCGCAGATGTCAATCCCACCTCTGTGCCAGCGCATATACACGAGCTGCATATGTGAGTGCAGTTTCAGCTGGTCTTAGTCGAAGCCTAGAGTAGGAGAACTAGGAGATGCCCCTCCCAGCACCTTGTTCTATGCCAAGAAGTTTCCCCCCAAACCCTGGTTTCCGACTTCCCCTGCATGAACACTTTTCTGGCGTGGTGGCATTACAAACGACTGTCGGGTAGAAAGCTGATCCGTTTACATGCCACTCCTCGTAAAACCTTCTTCTGCGCAACTAGATGGCAAACGTCGAAGACACTTCATCAAGACACAGGCTGTTGGCTGCACTTGGAGATCTTCGGAAGAGCTGGGACATCACATGCACGACGCATCACGAGCTGCCCAACGACCGCCCGATTCCGGCCCTCGGCGTGAGAACTTCGACTCGAGTATGGAAGATAAACAAGCCGGGGCCGAGGATGATCGCGGCCTGTTGCAATTGACTCAGGTGTAGCGGTTGCCCACCGAAGCCAAGAGGCTAACCTCGTTGCTCTCATCCAGGTTGGCCCTGTCCACAAAAAGCCAAAGCGATGCCACGTCCGGGAGCTGCCAACCTGTTGAAACGTAGTCGCGAAAGGTCTGGGCCGGCTTCCATTTGTTCACGGACCGGCCCACCAGCGTCACTTCCACATCCAGGCCAGGTAATGCTGGGTGGTCCACTCTCGGAGTACTGGATACTGTGGCCGGTGATCAGCTTGTCCACGCCCAGCTGATCGGCTGCGATGATATCCTCCTTGGTGTCCCCCGCGACGGTTGGTCGGTCTCGCCTTCGGCGCTGGATCTTTCGGTTTTGGTGGTCGTTTGGGAGCAGCCCTCGACTCTCGATGCAACCTTTGCGGAGGAGGTAGAAGCACTGCCGAGGGTGGAAGTTCATCTTCTGGCTCCAGTTGATGATTTGCCCTGCTCATTCTTTCAGGATCGGCATGATCGGCCCGAGCCTTGTTGACAAAATTTCTAGGCAGGTGGCAGGAACTGGGATGTGGAGATCCACAAGAGTCGGGATCAACTCCACCTGAACACCTTGTATGCGGCTCAATGGCAAAATGGCAATGGGGTCGATGTGGACAGGCTGGTCACGTTGAGATGGAATACTGCGGAAGTATGCGAACATTGTTTCTCCCGTTACGCCGGTTGTCGCACTCCGGGCAGGCGTAAGTGCCGTCCGCCTCCGCATCCGGGACGACCGCCGCCTCCTCGGAAGAGGCCGCCAAGGTCGCCGCCGGAGGCGCCACGTGAGTGGCCGCCTTAAACTGCCGGGGCACCTTACTGGCGGAACGGTGAGCTCGCCCCGGGTCATCGGGCACGAGCTCCTCCG